TGTTTTTTTATGAAATAGTCCAAACAATGAATGCAGACAATGGTATGCACAGGTTGAAATTTCTGATGCACAGATCTGCAGAAGTTATTTATATCCCTCAGAATAAGGGTCAGATTTTTTTTATCATGTTWTGCTCTTTGTTAATCAAAAATCTCATTAAACCTCAGAAACTCTAAAATGTTTTATTTACAGAAGCGAAAAAAAAAATCATGACTGTATTTAATGAAAATGCACACCAAATATAATCATACATATAAAACGAACGGGACACACACTGAAGCCACACAAACACATAAAACTAAAGAGGAATAAAAGAAACAAAAGAAATAACATGGACATCCACATTGAGCTGAACTGAAACAAGTACAAAAACACATTTTTGTCATAGCAGGAACATCCTACCTGTAAAAGTGACAAGTTGGTTCTTCCAATATTCTAGTGTTATTTATTTAAGCACAATATTTTTAAACAATAAAGTATTCATTAAAAGTATTTGTGTCGAAAAATGAAAAATAAATTTTTGAATGCCTAAAAAAGACACCTCCCCCACAAATTCTGATGGTGGTGCAGTGTGCATGGCAGCTTCCTGTACCGTGTTCACTGTACCAAATAAATATTTTATTAACCAGGGAAGCAGAAAAGATATACATAAATAAATGTGCAACAAATAATAAAATCAAATAAGACGGTAATGCTTTCTTTTAYGGTACCCTTATYACCATGTAATTATAAGGTMATAAAAATGTAATTAAATAGTTACTACCTTATTACCATGTAATTACATGGTAATTAGTGTACAAAATAAAAACTACTGTTAATAAAACTACCTTTATTGGGTAACTACAATCAAATTACCATTCAATAGCAACTCAATGCTATTTATAACCAAAAGAATGCAACTATATTTTAGGGTTAGTGGTTAATTGAAATAAAATATGACTTTAAAACTGTCACATTACCTATTCTTATTTATGTGTTACATAGTGAATAGTAATACATTACCAGTTAAGTGTTACATTACTGCGGAAAATTTATTACATAGTAAAATTGTACCCTTATTACCACATAATTACATTGTAATATTGTAGTAATTACCATTTCATTATGTTTTTATTACCTTGTAATTACATGGTAATAAGGGTACCGTAAAAGAAAGCGTTCCAATTTTTCAATAATTAATTTTCTCACTTAATACCAAGTTAAAATGATAAACTATATATTTGTATTCATTTTTGTTTTAGATCTACTGATTTTAAACTGTATATCCACAGAGACAAAAACACGTTTATATAAACTGTATTTATACATAAACTGATATTGATCTGATTTATAAACCCAATTCAGCTGACTGACACCAGTTCTGTTTCAACAACTCAAAACCAGCAAAATAATAAAAACAGCTACATTTTTAAAACTTGCTTCAGCTTTTTCATTTTTCAYGTTTTTAATGAATTATAATTTTCAACAAAAAAAGAAAGATTTCTCACTGGCTRCATGCGTTGGTGACAAATTGTGAATGACATTAGTGAGGGAGCTTCCCAAATGTCTTGACACGTTTGTGAGGATTCTTAGTTTCTTTGCGTGAATTATGTGTGTTGAGCTTTTCAATTCAATTCAATTCAATTCAATTCAATTCAGTTAAATTCAATTCAATTCACAAGACCAATCGCTGACAGTGTCGTGGGAGTAAAGTGAGAAGAATGAGAAATGTGAGACAACTTTGGAAGTGGTTGGCAACCTATGAAATTCAATTATGACTTATTGGTGATATAAAAAAAGAGATTCTGACATTCTGTGCACTTTGGAAGCTGTGAATAAAATAAGAATAAAATAAGAATAAATTGTGAACACACTGAAAAATTAATAAAGACACTTTGTGACTAAACAGCGAGGAATTAATAAACATAACGTTTGCACAATGCTTATGCAAACTCCCAGCAAATTTTGGCCCAAATGTTTTGTCTTAAGTAGCAATTGAATGTTATTCCAAAAGAAAAGTAGCATTTTGTTCAGAAATCTTTTCTGCAGCTGTAGCCACCAACAGTGATACCCAGTGTACCAAATACAGCTGTCATGCTACGTTCACACCGAACGCGTTTTGAGCAGCCAAAAAGCGCAAAACGCCTCAAGTTGGACGCACTATGTCTAGACCGGGATACAGACCAGACGTGTGTCTGAAGAGGAAGGAGCRTCTTGGTTTTTTCCAGTCTGTCCTTGGCGGGTGAAATAAAGATAAAAACAAAGAAAATGGCTTTGATTTATTTACTAAAGAGCAAGCAAACGTTGCACACAGCAGATAATTAATTCACCAGATGATTTAGAGGTGATTTGTTCGGTTAGTTTCACCATTCCAGAAGCTGCGAGCTGACGGACCTATTTTTTTTCTCCCGACCAGCTGACCCACATCGGTACTAATATATCCTGCCAGAAAATCCAACTGCAGACAGTCGATTTCAGCTAAAGATCTCCTGTACATCTGTTTCTGTTTAGTGGACAACATTCAGGAAACTGTCACGTGGAAAAATGAGTCTCTCTGATTGGTATCAAGAGGCGTCGAGCAGCGAAAATTTCAGATTTTTAACTCTGGCGGCGGCTTCCGCAGCACCGCATGTGCGGAAAACGCTCTGCCGCCCCTTCCGCCTTCCTTGCGCGCCGCCCAAAACGTATGTGATGCAACGCACAACCCCTAGAGGCGCGACGGCCATAGACTTTGCATGTAAACTGACTGCTCCTGCAGCTCAAAATGCGTTTGGTGTGAACGTAGCATCAGACAGAGCAGTAAAAGGAACATGCATACTGTTTCCCAGCTGTTTAGTTCTTTAACATTGTGTTAATTCTTCCTAGTCCTGAGGTGTTTTGTACTGGTATATCTTAATGCAGTGATGCATGCTGTCTGACACAGCTAGTTGTCCCTCAGGTAGTAGGGTCAGGCCCCGAGGACTACTTAAGCCTTGGTTTACTATGGGCCACCCAACTCCTTCTTTGGGGTATAACACAATTCTGTGCTGCTCCCCCCAGTCTGCTACCAAGACATTTCCATGTGCATCTATGCAGATACCCCAAGGACTGGTCAGGACCGGCCCCATTCCAGCACACACACCTAGAACTCTCACTGTGTTCCAGCCTGTCTCCAGAACTTTAATGCAAGGCACACATCCTGTTTCATTGCCCCTCTCAGACACAGCTACAATGCCTGAGCTTAAGCAAGCTGCCACTAAGTAGGGCCTGTGGAACCCAGTTACAACTGTACGTTCAAGTCGGGAGCCTGTTTTAGGGTCCAGCTTCAGGGCAACGAGGGTGCCTTTTCTGATATCGGCGACCAAAAACTCATCCAGCCTGGTTACAGTGACACCTCTGGGAGCTTCCAGTTCATCTTTTGCAGAGCTCGACCTAGACCCACCGAAGGTCTGAAGCAGGCGACCGTGACGGCTGAACACAAGCAGTGCTCTCTCTGCAGCACAGCTTAGTGCAATCAGACCCTTGGCGTTGACTGCAATGTCAAAGTAATTTCTGCATCGTCTGGATGACCCATCAGCATTTGGGGAGGTCACTTGCTGAAGAACATTTCCACGAGAATCTGTCACCTGTTTCAAAATTAAAGTTTAGTTATATCTAGAACAATGTGTACATGTTTGAAGTTTTAAAGAGAAGACATACCTGAATACGGGCATTTCCACAGTCCACAATAAAGAGTTGACCCTGCGGTGTGGCATGGATACCACTTGGCAGAGTAAGGTCAGCCCGACCTGAACCCTGCTTTCCAAACTGCCCCAGTAAATGGACACCTCTTGAGTTGAACGCTGTAAAAGGTGGATCAACCTCCTCCTCTAATTCCACTAAGGCCAGCTTGGCTCCTTCTCCCTTACCTCTCTTTGGCTCTTGAGAGAAACCATCTATAACTGACAATGAAAGTGACCTGGCCACAAGGGGTTGTTTTGATCCAGTAATTGTGTCTTTTTTCTGAGGTTGTGAAAAATTATTCTGACCTATGTAGGCAGGGTAAGTTAAGGTCTGGCCTCTGTCAAAAGCCCTTTTTCCTCTCTGAGTGGGTGGAGCTGAAGTTGAGCTCAACAAGGCACTTATGTTGCCACACTTGACCCTACACAAGTCTTGTTTGTTTGTACCATCACTGATCAAGGGCCTTGTCTTAGGTGTCAAGTCCATTGCCGACTTTGAGAGACGGCAATTGTAGTTCAAAGATGCTCTGTTCAAACTGTTGTCATGAGACGGGCTCACAATAAAGGTATAGCTGGAGTCAAGGCTGTCTGCTGGGGATGGTGCACGACCAGAGTCCCCTAGAGTCCCCAAAGAGTGTTCATCTGAAGACTGGCTCAGACGAGAGTAAGACCGGCTTTTGGAGGTCAGGTCAAGGCAGCTTTGACTGACCAAAGGATCTCTTGGAGTCATTCTGGGGGATGTTAGGACACTACTTCCATATCTCAAATATCTCCTGTTGAATTCTGGACTCGCTTTAAGTTTATCACCAACCTGGCCATCAAAACTCAAGAAATTTTTCTGTCTTTGTTCGGCTGAAGGGGATGGTTTTCTCTTAGAGGCCACAGAAAGCATTTTCTTCTGATTTATGGGAGAATAACATTTTTCATTAGTGTTCATCTTGTTTACGTGACCTTTGCCTTTAGAGTCTAAGTTTTTAAGAACTGAAGGGACCGCCAGAAATACATCCTCCACTTGGGGCTGAAAGAAACTTGATTCCAGTTCATCCTCTTGAGACAACTCCCAGTCAGACTGTTCACATTTAGGAAGCCATTGAGAGATCTTTGCAGCAGAGAGCTTCTGTTCTTCTTCTGCTTCTAGATTACTCCGATTTGAGAGGTTGATCTTTGTGACAATCCTGCCCGTTGGTGAGGTCCAACCCTGTCCATGGGTCCTCTCTTCTCTTCCAGGGCTCTGACGGTTTCTATCTTCACACTGCATTTCTTGTAAATGGAGAGCACACAGCTTTCCATGTGGCCCACAGCCTCCAACATTCAGGCACAAGGTCTGTTCTTGGACACGCATGTCTCCAAAGGTGACAGCATTGGGTTGGGAGCTTGGTTTGAAATTCACTTTCTTAAGAGCAACTGAGATTTCCCAGGGTTGCAGGAATTCTGCAATCTCCTTCAGTATGGAGTTGTGGTTTGATCCACTTTCATTCAGAACAGACTGACTCACTTCATGAACTTGCTGCTGAAGCTCAGCCAGCTTGTGCAGTTTTTGATCAAGTAAAGCTTGACTGACCCGCGCTGCCGCCATGTTTTCCCTGTGAACCTGTTCTAGATGCTGCTGTGTGTCCCGATGGTCCTGCTCCACCCTCTCCAGGAGTCGCTGCTCCTCTCTGCGTGCTCCCAGAATTGCCCGCTCTACTCCTCGTTTGACAATTTCGGTCTCGGTTGCATGACACTCTTGTATTTTCCGCAGCTCTTCTTCTGCATGGGCAAGGTCACTCTGTGCTTGAGTTAACCAACATGGAGGGAACTGAGGTGGAGTYGATGAAGTACCATCTGAGTGACTATCTTGACTTGGGCTGCTAACTTGAACTGGAGAAGTTGGATTGCTTTCCAAAAGAGTTCCCACAAACATTRTGAAGGATGGATCTTTTCCGTTTAGGAGTTCTGACTCGATTTCTGAAGAAAGACAATATTAAAGAAGAGATGTACTCATAAATAACAACAACAAAATATACCACGTTAAAAGTGACACGTTAGAAAAACTCAAAAAAGATAAAACTTTCCAGTTTACTAGMACGAATGTATTGTTTTGATGACAGGGGTGAAACTGTTTGTTATTAAGCATTTCCCAAAGATGAAAACACTGCATTACATGAGTCGCATCATTTTTATACTTCAGGAAAATGAATGGTGGACTGAGAAGAGAGAATATCGATCAGAATGGACATGTTTCATCACAGGTTATTAGCTAAGTTTACATGGACATAAGTAATCGGATTAAATGGCCATTTGGAATGAAAATGAGTCATGTAAAAAAATTAAAATCTGCACATCACCTGTAGCTCAACCAGGGAGTGCAGTGACGTCTCCACCATTATTAAAACCTGTCGCGGGTCCTTCTCTATCAGCATAACATCTCCATATTAACTAACTGCGTTAAATCTAGCCGTGCACGTCACCGAAGAAGTGTTTGCTACATTCAGCGATGGTGAAAATGGGATTTTTTTTACATCAGTCAATATAAGCAGCAGAATTGCCACCCGCCGCTGCAAAATGCTCCAAAATATTAGCATGCTAACGCACATAGCGGTGCTGCGAGGAAAAGTGTCCCCCAGGAAACAGTTCACTGGCGGCCACGACAAAATGTTCCGCACATGTTCGGGCTATTTAACCTGGTATGTCCGGTATTCAGAAAATTCATAACAAAAATTAAAAACGGTATCCGATACAAAACGGTACACCACCCAGCACTGTGCGCTCAGAATATGCTTGTTTATGTTCATGATGGAAGTAGAACGTCTGTGATTTTTTTAGGGAAAGTTAACATCTCTGCGCATGTCAATAAAAGCCTGGTGCATGTAAACACTCGTCATGATCATATTGTGCCCATGCAAATGATACATCAAAGAATTTTGCACCTGTAAATATATCTAGTGACCCTTTGCACATGTCACATTCAGAAGTCAGCTCACTTGGACGCAAAACAACCTATGCACGCATAAACTCCAGTAGGCTACAGCTATTCAAAAACAGACAGTTGGTCACACATGTCAAGTTGTACAGATTGTCTGTAAATTAAACAGTTTTCCTCCATTTAGTAGGCACACAGATTATTTTCAAATCTAACAGATTTCTTCTAAGACTGAGCTTCAAATTTATTTTGCATCTCAAAAAAAAGGCACAAAAAAAATTAAATAGTCATCTCTCCCAACCCACTCGGTAGCTGAAGACATGCAGAGCTCTGTGACTGAAACTCCCATCAGGTGATATCTTTATAAATATTTGATGAATCCATTCACAGCTACCTGTGACATTAGTCAGATGAAACGATACATGAGCATTCAAAATTGATTTGTAAAACATCTGATGCAATTCCTAAGGTTAAAAACAATCAGATTTGGGGCACATTTGACTGCGGTGTGAAAACGTGTGTGTGTGTGTGTGTGTGTGTGTGTGTGTGTGTGTGTGTGTGT